ATTATTACCAAGTTGGGCAAGCTTCAATTGACGTTCGAGTAAAATTTGATCAATCACATTGGTGACTTGAACATCTTTGATACGGTCAGTGAGGATGTTTCTGGCAACATTGTTTGCATCCACAGGTTGACCATTGTACAATTGAGCAAGAGTTTGGTCGGATGCACGGTGACCACGTAATGAGTGACTCAATTGCTTGATGAGGTTATCGCGAGCAATACCACGGTGGATCATTTCTTGCGCATTGATACGTGGGTTGTAGGAGGACAATGGATCAGCACCGTAGATTGTATTCCAAGACTGTTGGTTGACACCAAAGTCCAAAGGATGAGCATAAGCAGAGAAGGGTTGGTTAAAGATCATTTTTTGAGATGTTTACATTATTTGGAAGTGTTTTATACAGTTTTGTTTTCACACGTCAAACTGGTGGTGTGCAAATAGTAGATCATGTATATGGCATCATATGATTTACGGAGTCTACTAACACTTTAACGAATATTCGGATTAATTGGTGTCAATGTATTACTTCGAAAAAAAAGTTACCTCAACATGCTTCAATCCGATAAATTAAATTCAACGTCTTTTTACAGAAATTCAAAGAATTTCAACTAGAAAATCAGCTTTAAATCGAAGGAAACTTAGGAAAAGAAATAAATGTATTCTTTCATGTCAGCATGGTTTGGATAATACAGAATACATATTTCTTGACAAATAATGGTTGGAAAGATCTTTGAAAGTATTACAAAACACTACTAAAGAATTTCTTATGACTTTTCCAGTCGTCAAAGATATTTCCTTCTCAACAAAAACGAAGGAAACCAACTTGGTATGAGAAGACGGTGTAAGGCAATAAGTATTTATGGACGATGAGTCAGAAAAAATACTATACTGTTTAAAGTGATGCATCTTCAAGGACTATCCCAATCTATATCAAACATTTGAATTCAAGGTTTTTTTTTAAATATAAGTATGGAAACAATTATAAAGATTATCCTTACTTTAAGCAGTTTCCAAGAAAGCTAATCTGTAATTTCAAACATCTTAAAAAGAGCAAAGAAGCTATGATTTGATTATATCTTTATTACAATGCAATTGCAATTAGTTTTTCTTGAATTGGAATTTATAGTTTTGACCATAGATGGAATCCCATTTACCTTCCGTGTTGTATACAGCAAATTCAACATTCAATTCATTAGCTGAGGCATCAAGTTTATCAAATTCAATAAAAGCTCCAGTGATGACACGACCATAGATAGGTGTGAATGGACCACGAGTTTCTTGTTTACCATTGATAGACGTCCAGGCGGTCAAGTCGGTACCAACTTTGTAGTTGTCCCAAACACTTCCTTTGTTGTTGTAAGTGAATACGATTTTGGCAGCTGGGGTTGCGATATCATGGGCACAGGCATAAACTGGTCCTTGTTGTTGGCAGTTGCCTGCTGGAGCGGAAGGTAGAGCAAGAGCGGTAGCGATGAGAGTAGCGAATAACATTAGATTTGTGTTTTTTTGGAGACCCAAACATTGGTCTTTTATGGCGAGGCCTCGAGCTCTTGTGTCCATCACTCGAGATCACATGAGGTCGCGATATAATGTGTTGCTCCTTAGTCATACCTTGAAAGCATTGGATTACAATTGTTACTGCTCAACAATTCATCATATACCACTCTGTTCATCTTATAAAATGCCATGCAGTAGACTGTCAATATAAATTCAACCAACTGACTTAGAGAGATGTGGAATTGGTATTGGGTCCCCATAATCAAAAGTTTCAGAAATATGATTACTAATCCTTTGTTTACAGCTCCTTGAAATGTTGGTGTTACAAACCTTCATGGTTAACTGTAGGCGTAGTTGGGATAACCGCCCAGGTCGCAATTAAATCTAGCAAGACCTCTCAAATCGCCCTAAACTCATCACTAGAAAACATTCAACAAATGATTCACTCTCTATCCGAGTTCTGAATATAACTATAGCCATATTGGGTGGTCTTTTTTTCAGTAGGTATCTAAATCCGGCCTTAATTAAATGAGAAATTTCCTATTACGTATCAAGCTAATTTTAAATTGCAAGTTTCAAATATGTTTATATTTCACCAAAAAAGTTTCACAAGACAAATTGATTTGGATAACCTTGACCGTAGCTTTTCCACTGTCCCATTGGATTTCCGAAATTCATTGCTCCACCAATTACGTCAGTGGCATTGAATGCATTGTAACCACGACCGAGTACATTGCGATTGTTCAACAATTGGTTACCTACGAGCTGTTGAGCTTGGACAATGTCGCGTTTCAAGACATCCAAGGTTTGGTTTTCCAAGATGCGATCAACCATTTCATCACGTTGTTGGGAAATCACTTGGTTAGGATTGCATAAACCACCAACATTGAAACCACCAAATGGAGTTTGAGAACGCATGTTGATTTGAGACCCAGGATGTAACCCTATCGTTATCAACTACAGTGAGAATTACCAAGCAGGGCAAGCTTTAATTGACGTTCAATTAAAACTTGATCAATCACATTAGTGACTTGAACATCTTTGATACGATCAGCGAGGATGTTTCTGGCAACATTGTTTGCATCCACAGGTTGACCATTGTACAATTGAGCAAGAGTTTGGTCAGAAGCACGGTGACCACGCAATGAGAGACTCAATTGCTTGATAAGGTTATCGCGAGCAATACCACGATGAATCATTTCTTGCACATTGATACGTGGGTTGTAAGAGGACAATGGATCAGCACCGTAGATTGTATTCCAAGACTGTTGGTTGACACCAAAGTCCAAAGGATGAGCATAAGCAGAGAATTGTTGATTAAAGATCATTTTTTGAGATGTTAACAGCATATGGAGGACTTTTATATAGTTTAATTTTCACACGTCAAACTGGTAGAGTGTAAACGTTTGCTCATGCAGGTCGCACCATATGATTGCTGGAGACCAGTAAAATTTTATACATATTGGCTGTTGTTTCTAATGAATAATAGTTGATACGTTCCACCTCCAGCCGCACTCACAATTGAAGTGCTCATTAAATTAATGAATTGAGGAAAAATAACTACCAAATGAATGTTTATGAATATCAATCAACCTACCTTCCAATTCCTACCAGGTTTCCGTTCTGTATTCTTAAAATAGACCCACTTGATCAAATGAAATTAATGCGGTATATAGTTTAGTAAATTATTCCGAATTAACTTAAAGAATGCCGAGTCACACCATTTTTTAAGGAGCTGTAGACAAACTATGATCGAATAGCAATCAAAGTTCTGAAACATTGATTGTCTGAAATGAATTGATAGTCCATCACATAGCCTAATATAGACTTAACAATGTAGTCCTTAATGAATTGTTGAGCAAGTAACAATTGTAATCCAATGCTTTCAAGGTATGACTAAGGAGCAACACATTATATCGCGACCTCATGTGATCTTGAGTGATGAACACAAGAACTCGAGGCCTCGCCATAAAAGACCAATGTTTGGGTCTCCAAAAAACACAAATCTAATGTTATTCGCTACTCTCATTGCTACCGCTCTTGCTCTACCTTCCGCTCCAGCAGGCAACTGCCAACAACAAGGTCCAGTTTATGCCTGTGCCCATGATATCGCAACCCCAGCTGCCAAAATCGTATTTACCTACAACAACAAAGGAAGTGTTTGGGACAACTACAAAGTTGGTACCGACTTGACCGCCTGGACCTCTATCAATGGTAAACAAGAAACTCGTGGTCCATTCACACCTATCTATGGTCGTGTCATCACTGGAGCTTTTATTGAATTTGATAAACTTGATGCATCAGCTAATGAATTGAATGTTGAATTTGCTGTATACAACAAGGAAGGTAAATGGGACTCCATCTATGGCCAAAACTATAAATTCCAATTCAAGAAAAACTAATTGCAATTGCATTGTAATAAAGATATAATCAAATCATAGTCATTAGGTTCAAATTTAATTAATTTGAGAATGTTCTTGAATCACTTAATGGTTATCTAATAGCTGTTCCTCTCAACCAATTGAACTATCATTGATAGCTAAATCTAAATGTTCCGATAGTCGATTCTTTTCACTATAATGAAGTTACAACCTCGATATTCACACCAGTATGAAATATCATGCAGGTGCATTGAAACTGAGTGAAATCGTGTTCCTGAAATATTCAAGCGTTATTTTGCGTGTGAATTCACTTTTATATAAATAGACCTGTCACGAACTGATCACTCATAAATGAACTGCAATCAATTCCAATTTTCACTTCCACAATCTTTTGATTGTACTCCGAATCAACAGATATGTTTGGCATCGAAATATTTTTTGGACCGTATAGGCGATTTAGAGCGGGGTGGTATCATTGGTCAAAATTTGAATGTGTATAACGCTCGATTGGGAAAGTTAGGTAACCCTACTATGGACTAGACTTTATTTTCTTAGGGGTGCTTCCATCATCTCAATGGAATAGACAAAACCTATATCCAAGTTTGGAGCAACGTTCACCCGTTGGTAACCCATTGATGTTACCAACTGAGAATGAATATAATTCACTTCAAACCCGTGACAAATCTATCGACTCTATCTTGGAAAACCAAACCTTTGGTATTTTAAAACACGATATTATTCAAGCACATCAAATGAAACAAGGAATGATGGTTCCTTACTATGGTGGCATGTCACAATGTCCATTACGTGGTCTAAACCAATCTGGCCTTGGTATGCTTTGTATGGATCATGTTATGGGTCAAGATATTGGGAATCGTGTTGGTCTAGATTATCCAATGATTAATCAAAATGTGCCTTGTTCATATGGTAGATATCCGGTGCATTGTCCATTGATGTCTTGTATCCAATTGTAAACCCAATTTTCGTAAGGAAACTATAGTATGTTACTGAAATAGATTAACAGTATATTGCAATCATTTCTATTGTTTCAAAAGTTATTTGAATTTTTTGTATCGACGTACTGTTGACAAGCATCTTAAATCAAACCACCAAAATAAAAAAAGGACCGAGCGAGAGTTGAACTCGCGACCCCAGGATTTGCAGTCCCATGCTCTGCCACTGAGCTATCAATCCTTGTGTAACATCACAATTATCGATACTTGACACCAAAATTGAGCCGATTTCTGAGCTAAGAAATCAAATTTGACGATGTTTCAACGATGGATAATTTAAAGATTTAAAAGAAGTTCTCGACATACCAACAAAAAAAATGAAATTATCAGAAATTGTAATTCAATGACTAAAAAAGGAAAATATATTTACGAGTAATAATAGGTCTATAAGGATATTATGCTTCTGGTGCAAGAGATTCAATAACGGCCAATAAATTCTGTACCAATTCTTGGTTGGTACTGAAATAGAATAATTTTGATAATGGTGTTGGTAATTTACTACAGCCTACAAAGTTTACACACCGAACATTCGATTTGGCACGACAAAGCAACATAACTTCCGCAGTAGTCATCCAGGTGCAAAGACTAACGTCGATATGAAGGAGTAGTGGGCAATCCGTAAGAAGACGCAAAAGTGCATCACCTGCTGTGACGGGAATACGTTCGAAACAATCAGGTATTGGATAAGTTATGTTTGAAATGTATTCGTTGATTTCTTTAATGTATTCATCTTCATTGATTGTTAAAGAAGCAAGAGAAACTGATTGCAAACAAGGGGTATGTTTTGATAAATTCATAAGTGATGAAGTAAAAACTACCAATGAAGATACAGAATGTTTGAATTTACAGCCCTAAAACTTAGGAGTAGCTCAATTTACCTTTCTACCAGTGTATCGGTTTACAACTTCTTGAATTATATGGACAAATTTATAAACATAGTTAACCCCTGTTTCTTCAAAGATGATAAGCATCCAAACGGCCATATCAGCCTCAAGCGGATGACGAGTTCTATGATCCTGGAGCAGTTGACGTTGTTCCAGAAATGACCAAGGAGCAATTTGATTTTGTTGTGAGTTACTCATCGTCATTGATCGAACAATAGATAGACAAACTTGTTCAAATGATGAAAATAAACCAATCAAAATTTTCCAAGCTTCATGATCTGGTGAATTAAATCTGTTGAGTGATGGATTTATTCGCCTAATCAAATCCACCAAAACTGATTGACGACGATACATTGAAATACTTTCCGCTAGAGGTTTTAAAATCTTCCATAATTCATCATAACTTCTGTTATAATTGGGAGTAACAGTATCATGTGCGGTGACCAATAACTTTGTTTGAGGAAATTGAGACGAAGGTTTGCTTAAATAAATAGTTCTAGAGTGAGGATTTAGGATAGGATGCACACAAGGTACAGCAGAAGAGTGACAGTGCATTGTACCTAGATCCAAAGCTAGGACACTCTTTGCTTGATCAGGGTTTTTTGACAACGAAATAATGAACTGAGCAAATTTGAAAGTATGATTTAATTTTGGGTATCTATAAAGATATTATTGATAAATCAGTTACCTATACAAAGATTTCTTTGAACATTGTGAGAGTAATTTGTTGACCTGCGTTAAAGTCAATAGGGTTTGCTGGTCAGTAATATCTGAATATTAATACTAGTATATGCCTTACAATTAACAATAATCTCCCAAATGTCGGCAGAGTGTAGACTGACAGTCATGTTGTTTTGTGTTGTTTTTCTGAAAAAACTGAACAAATTCCAAAAGCTTGTTTTAGTTTAAAAATTCCCTCATAATAAACCAAATCATTAAAAATGTTATTGATTTCGGTACCGTATTCGATACCATATACATATTTATTATTAGAATTATTACTTGATGTTGAACTGTAGTTTTTATACATACATCCCAGGTGAACTGGTGACTATAACACTAATAATAAATTAAAAATCTCTTACAAAGGTGTTGTTGCTTCTCGATTTCCACTAAAAAGTACCATTTTCATGTTTTTGAAAATTGATCCTTCATTAAATGGATTATCTTGAGGGTTTGAATACATCTGTTTGACATCTTCCCTAGTAGTTACATTCCTAGTGACCAAATAAAAGTGGTAGATAAACATCCCCACCAAAGACCACATGATGCAGCCAGAAACAATACTCAGTCCAAACGGAACAGCTTCAAAGATCCATGTGTAATTAGGAAAGCTAGATAAGTATATGACACATATGATAAACATCATCACCGAATTAATACTTGAAAAAAACAGAAACCAAAAGAAATATACATAATTATTCTTTCCAATACAATTGCCCATCCCTATTACGATTAAAATAAAAGAATTTTACAAGGGCAGTGATGATCTAGCCTTTCAATACATGTATCGCACTCACTACAATGTGCTGTTCTAGGTGCTCTCCAAGCTTTACAGGTGATACAGTACTTTGTCTCCAATTGATGATTTTTATAAATGACAATTCTACTGTATAGATTTTCGGCACTATGATAGATAGGTGTAGGATTTTGAACGTGCAAAAAAGGATAGGTAGGAGGAAATGCGTTCACAACCGGTGCCGAATTACTGACGGCGTTTGCATTTGAAACATTTTCAGTCATATTATGGATAGTTGCAGTTGAAAGATTTCTATTGAGTGACATGGAAGGTTCCTTAATTGATTCCAGTGGTATATCATCATTGTTATCACGCATTACGATTTTATCTGAACTATCCATTGAAATTTTGGTTTCTGGTATTTGTATTGTATTGGTATTTTTATCGTCTTCAGTGATTGTAAGTTTGGCATTATGTTTCTCCACTAGAATAACAGTATCAGCATTTGCATCATTCTTTTGAATTGTTTGATCTACATTTTGATCTATATTCAATTCCGTATACAAACTACTACTAGGTAGAGTTGGTGAAGCATTAAGTTCCAGTGATGTAACATTTTCAGTTGATCTAATGGACATGTTATTGGAATCAAGAACAGGTGATTTAGGCATATAGTTTGCCGTACTATCAAAAGTAGTTCTAGGACTTTGAATAGGTTGATTCATTTGTGATTGTAAGACTGGATCAGGATCAACATTCTTTACGATTCGCTAATTTCAAATTAATTCAAATTATTTACACCGGGATCAACTACATGAGTAATAATTTGAGAGATCAGAGTAGAAGCTGATACTAGACAAAAGACAATCAAAACTGCTTTAGTTGAATCAGTTTTCCAAAGATATGGACCAATATATGCCATAAATAATCCATCTGCTCCTGCAACTAATACTAATCCTATAAGAAATATCCCAAAATGTTTCCTTTTATACCATTCCATTGGAATATTTTTGGTTGAATTCTTAAGAGTCAAAATCACCAAGTGGCTAAATTTTGGTCACACAAAACGTGAGGTGGAAAATATCGCCGAAGGGTATGCAGTTGCTACCACGATTACGAGCGTCAAAGTGCAATACAGAATGTGAAAGTTTATTGCGGAAATGTTTTTACAAATTTTTTGTATTAATCTCGGTTATTTTGAGCTGCATTGGCCATCAATAGCACATACAAATCATGACATACATCTTCGCGGGCAGTTCCTCGTTTGTGATGCTTCCGTAAACATGTCATCATTACAACTGTTCGAGTGTTAGGGCATAACACAGAACCAGTACATCGAATACCAGTTGGGCTAGATATATACTTGAAAGTTGGTGGTGGTGAGTCATTTTCTGCTAACCAACTGCGAAGCATGCTGTCATATGTGGGCAAGTCGCCATCACCATCACTTTCATAAACTGGGTCCAACTCATCAGTGTTTAGACGTTTCCGACTACTGGAAGACAACTGTAATGATAAAGAAAGTAATTCCTGTGAACAATCAGTATCACTTGGGATTGGCTTTAAATTTGGTTCATCTAGAATATTAATGGATTAGATTCACCTTTAACAGGCGCATCAATGCTTTGATCGGCGGACTTAATCTCCAAATACATTTCTTTGGCAACTTCTTCTGCTGCATCCGCTTTTACATGATGGGAGCCAGACACTTTAATTTTAGCACCCATGATCAATTGCGCTCGATATTTAGTGACTCCATTTTCGGTGTTGGGTCTGTAATTGTAATATGGCTTTCCAATGGTCGGGTTTTTTTCATGCATGACTGTCAATAAATCAACATATTTTGCATTTCTGTCATTCTCAGGATGAACTTGTGATACACTTATCCCAGAGTTGGGGTGGTAATTGGGTGATCCTGTAGGAGAATTCTTTAGTTTTTCAATCCTTGATGTATTCACTGATTGTTGTTCATGCATATGTTGATCATTACCGTCTGACGCTCCATTTGAATACCGGTACCCAGTACCCCTATTTGGTTCACCTGAACGAATTGACGGGGTGATGCTGTTGCGATCACTACCCCTATTGTAGTTGTTCTTTGGGATGCTGTTATCCTCGTATCCACCAGAATAACGTCTTTGCTGATTTAGATTTCTGTCATTTAAAGCCAACATATTCGTATTGGAAGTTTGTTCCACTAAAAATGTTAATTTCATATGTAGAATTATATGTAAGAATGATTGACATTTGTTCAACAGATGTGCCAGTAAATATCAAACATTCAACATATACTTCCAGAAAGAAAGGTAATGCGAGTCAGTCAATTGAGAAACTGGACGAACCACCAGAGAAATGATGTGCAATTTGATGTATGAGAGTTGTACTTACTTTCATGTCTCACTAAATTTGATCCATTCAAATTAGCAGCAAATGAAGGATTGGACAAGTAAACAGCATCAGTGATGGCAGGAAGTCTACATAGCGATTCAAAAGCAACTTTGGCCACGTCCTCTTTGGCAGATGATTTTCTAGAATGTAAAGATAGACTCTAATAGTTTAGAAGCAACTTGAATTCACCTCAAAGGCCTGATCATATACAGTACAACGAGCATAAAACTTTCCCATCTCCCCATTTGCTTCAAACATCGGAGCAGTAATCCCAGCAGCTTGACATAAAAGAAATAAGAGAGAGATATAGTTTCTCTCCCTGTTGACAAAGAATGGAATCTTTTGATTTTCAAAGAATTCAATGGCAGCAGCAGCACAAATCTTCTTTGCATCTTGTCTAGCACTAACTCCAATAACCTCGAATCGATGGCCTAGTAGAGTCAAAGTCAT